ACTGTCCAATAAAGGAACTTCTATAAATGGCACCATCCCTGACTTCAAGCACTACTATAGATCTATAGTCCTGAAAACAGCTTGGTATTGCCATAAAAACAGACATGTGGATCCAAGGATATAAAGCAAAGACCTTGACATAAATGCACATGATGGGGGAAGTGCTTCTGTGTATGTGTTTCTCTTATTGGATGATAAAGTACTCTTTGTCCAATGAGATAGCAAGTTAGGCAGGACTAGGAGTTAAGGAGGATTCTGGGAAAGGTAGGAGAAAGTACAGGGTCACCATGTGAGCCCTGGGGACAGAACACTTGTTGCTGGTGTCCAATAAGATAAGTCTTATAAATTATATAGTTTTATGATAATTAAGAATAAGCTAACAGATGAGAAATCCTAGTCATTGGCCAAGCAGCATTTGTACCTGTGTGTTATTTGGGACCTTAACATGGTGGCAGGCAGAACTCGGGTGGCCTGGAGAAAGTGCCCACGTGGCATGCAGGGCTCTGATGGATGGAATGAAGACTTATTGTTACATGCACACACCTATGAACACCTGATTTTTGACAAAGAAGCCAAAAATATACAATGAAAAAAACATCTTCAACAAATGGTGCTGGCATAACAGGATGACAACATACAGAATAATGCAAATAGATACATATCTGTTGCACTGCACAAAACTCAAGAACCTCAACATATATCCAGTTACAATGATGCTGATAGAAGAGAAAGTGGAAAGTAATTTAGAACATATTTGCACAAGAGACTACTTCCTGAATATAACACCAGTAGTACAGGCACTGAGATAAACAGTTAATAAATGGGACCTCCTAAAACTGAAAAGCTTCTGTAAGGCAAAGGACACTGTCAATAAGACTAAATGGTACCCTACAGAATGGGAAAAAATCTTCACCAATCCTATATTTGGTAGAAAACTGATATTCAAAATATATAAAGAACTCAAGAAACAAGACATCAAAATACCAAATAATCCCATTAAAATAGGGTGCATAATTAAACCTATAATTCACAACAGAAGAATATTGAACATCCAAGATACACTTAATGAATTCAACACCCTTAGTTATGAGGTAACTGCAAAACAAAATGATTCTGAGGTACCATCTCACACCTGTCAGAACAGCTAAGTTCAAATATGCTAATGACAGCATTTGGTGGGAGTGCAAACTTGTACAGCCACTATGGAAATCTGTACTGTGGTTTCTCAGAGGACTGGGAATATATCCACCTCAAGACCCAGTGATACTACTCTTGGGCATATACCCAAAAGATGGTATACCACAAGGACATTTGGTCAATTATGTCCATAGTAACATTATTCATAATAGCCAGAATCTGGACTGGAAACAAACTAGATGCCCTTCAACTGGCATGTTTACACAGTGGGATATTACTCACCAGAAAAAAACAGTGGCACCAAAAAATTTGCAGGTAAATGGATGAACCTAGAAAAAAAATCATTGTGAGTGGGGTAACCCAGAGCCAGAAAGACACACAGGGTATGTCCTTATCCTTAAGTTGATATTAGATGTAAAGCAAAGAATAACTAGGCTAAAATCCTCAGCCCCAGAGAAGCTTGACAAAAAGGAGGACCCTAGGAGGGATACATAGATTTCCCTGGGAAGAGGAAATAGATGAGATCTCCTGGGTAAACTGGTGGTGAGGAGGGGCATGGGGGGAATAAGCAGGTAGGAACATGGAGTACCAGGATGAACAAGTTGGGGGCAGAACAGAGCTGTAGATTAATGAAAGAGATACCTTCATAGAGAGGCCTTATATGGGGTTAGGCAGGAACCTTGTGCCAGGGAAACCCCCAAGAACCAACAAAGATGACCCAAGCTAAGTTTCCTCGAAATAGTGTAGCAGTTTTCTGAAATGGCCTTCCACTGCATTCAGATAGTGACTACTCTAATTGTCATCATAGAGAGCTTTCATCCAGTACCTGAGGGCATTGGGCAGAGCTCTGGAAGTCCAGACGAATAGAGATGGAGGGATTATATGAACAAGGATAGGAGCCAAGATTAGGATGGGAAATCCCATAGAGATAATAGACCTGAGGTTTTGGGGGCTCATGAACTATAGAGAAACACCTAGGGAGCTGGCATGTGTGACCTACCTAGGCCCTCTGCATCTCAGTGACATCTCAGTAGTTTGGTCTTTTGTAGGGGCCTTAGCAGTGGGATCAGGACCTGTCCCTGATGCATGAGCTGGCTCTTGGGAACCTACTCCCTATGGTGGTATGTCCTGTTCACATTTGATGCAGGGAAAGGAGTTTGCTCCTGCCTCCACTTGATATGCCAATGCATTGTTGATCCCCATGGAATTCTTTATCCCATCCGAATGGAGGAAGAGGAGTTGGATGGGGGGTTAAAATGGGGAAAACGGGAGGAGAAGAGGGAGCGGAATCTATGGTTGGTATGGAAAATAAATAAAAATAATGATGAAGATATGGAAATGTCCATGAGTTTTAAATCAATGCTACCGCTGCCTAGACTACAATATGCAGGTGACATGAAAAAGTGAAGAAATGGGTAAGGAGGTAGAATACTGGAGAATGCTGCTCATTTTCTCTACTTTTACCCAGTACAAAATTTTACTTCACTTATTTTGAAACCACCAAGTCCAGCTTGTTTCTGCCATCTTCTCCCTTACTATATTACTCAGAGAAATATTAGTATCCCTTTTCATCTCTGTCATATTTTTAAGTGTCTTCAGAGCAACAGTTCCAATTTTTCCCTTATTGGAAATGATGATTGGCAAAACTAATTCATCTTCCTCTACCACCGTGCCTACCCTTTAAATGCCAATGTACCATAACCATATTTAAAGACAATAAAAATGTGTGCATAACTGATGTCTTTCCTCTTCTCCTGGAGGGAGGCAGGACTGTTACCGGGGCCTTTGCAGTCTCTGGGTTTGGTGGAGCCTGGCGGCCGAGTTTGGATCCCGTGAGAGGAACTCTAGAGTCAGGTGTCCCCGATTAGGGCAGGGGAACCGAAACCGGAAGCAGTCCCTAGCCTACCTGGACTGGTGGATGGAGGTCGGACTGTTGCAGGGGCCTTGGCAGTTGAAAGAATGATTATGGAAATGGAATAGCTTGGGAAAACAGGGGAAAAAGATAAATTACTGGTCATGATACCTAATTTACCCATTACTCCATGCCAGAAACATGGGAAAAGGCAAGTTTAAGAGATGAATGCCTATTTAACACATGTAGGGATGACATCATGGGTTTCAGGATGTCCAGTATTCCCTGACAGTCCCATCTTCCTCTGGCCAAAAAAGAGCAAAGATCCTGCAAATGGGATCTTTTCCAGTATTAACAGTCAGTCCCATCTTCCTCTGGCCAAAAAAGAGCAAAGATCCTGCAAATGGGATCCAAGAAAAATGCTTCTCCATACACCAGTTATATCATTCAATTAATCCTGACCAGAGAGGCATCATCCATGTACAGTGGCAAGGTGATCCTGATGATGTTTTCCATCCACTGTTAACAGAAGAAAGTTAAGATAGGGATAGTTAGAGAATGGGGGCCAGAGGGTATATCTAAGTACTTTCTTCAGATAACTCGTGCAGGAAGAAAAATGAGTAGCCAAGAAAATATATGTGACTCAGAGATGAAATGGGCAGAGGGCCAGAAAAGCCTTATCTGTATTTTCATGAGGCCATTTTTCTGATCTTGGCCCTGATAATTTGTCCCACTTGGGACCAAGAAGAGGGACAGTTTGGTAACATAAGTCCATTCATTTAAGGCTCTTGTCCCAGAAATGGTGATGAATATGGATCTGGGCTTTTTTTATATTCAAGAAATAGACAGTCTATTTTTACCAAATAATGCTCTCACCTGTCACCTAATATCCATCTCTTAGTAATCACTAAAAAGTAACAATTGTTTTATGAATTGCCTGGAATTTATCAAATTTGCTGTATCTCAGCCACCATTTCCATGTTAATTCCTTGTCTCAGAAAAATTATTTCGTTCTCCAGTCCCCATCCCAATAATTAGCAAAGAATTTCATCCTTCCAAATTGATCATGCTTCTTGATTCAAGCCAATGTGAGTCACATTCCATTAAAATCAAGGCAGGTTTTTTGTTTGTTTGTTTGTTTGTTTTTTCTCATAGGGATTATTCTAATGAAATATGTTCAGCTTCTTCAGGGACAGCAACTTTAGTGGGGCTGAGACATATTACATGGGGCCTTCCTATTAAATGTAGAATGCAAAAAGAAGCAAGCACAAATGCAGCAATAGTTTCAAAATTAACTTCATTTTCAGAGAAAAGTGATGTTACAAATTGAATGCTGTTTTTATTTGTAGAATCATATGGCTGTGCTAGGTTAAACGTATGCTTTTTAAGAAAAGAGGAAAGAATAGTTTTTCAAAAAGCCTCATGGTGAGTTTCTCAGAGATGACATGCAATCACAAACAGCCATAGCAACTCCATCATCTGCAAAACAGTGATAAAATGATTAGAAATTCACAATTTAAAAAGTGGATGTGACACTTCAAAATAGTTCTTCTTAGTTCAAGTAAGTTAATAAAATAAGAATATAAACGTTGGCATATTTGCATGTATGTGTGCCTTCCCACAATGGGGAAAAGAAATTAATTTGAAAAAGAGGAAAAAGACTTCTTTTTTCTGCACATTTTTTTCATTTAATTTTTCTATGAAATTACTGTTGGATCAGGAGATGCGATGAATCTTTTTTTTTATTTGAATTAGAAACAAGATTGTTTTACATGTCAATCCCAGTTCCCTCTCCCTCCCCTCCTCCCCTACCTCCCCCCAACTAAAACCCTACCAATCACATATCCTTTCTGCTCCCTAGGGAGGGTGCGGCCTTCCATAGGGGGTCATTAGAGTCTATCATATCCTTTGGGATAGGGCCTAGGCCCAACCCCGTGTGTCTTGGCTCAGGGATGACTCTTAAGAAATTAGTTTTCTCTTTGGATTGTTTCCATTACTCACCTCCCTGAAATCAATGAGTTGGTTTTGGGTCAAAATCTTTTCTCCCAAATTGAGCACCTGCTTTTGCACATTTATTACAGCCTTTGCACCAGGAGCGATTTACAGTTTTGCATGATGGGCAGACCCAATTCACTGGAGTACGGTGTAAGAGGGCTTTCTCTGGTTGTTTGATTTCAGGGGATTTTGCCCTTTGAGCTTGCTTGGTCTTTTGTTTTGGAGACAGTTGTTTGGAGTTTTTACTCACACTATAACTTTTACTTTTCACTGGGGTGCTTGCTTGTAATCTGTTTGGTTCTTCCTTCTGGCTCTGACTCTTGCCAATCCCCTGTGGCATCACATGATCTTTCTTCTCACTAGGGTTTCCACCAGTAGACCGGGGTGTCATCTGCTGAAAAGTGATTGTGTTCTCCTTCTGCCAACTTCTATTATCATCTTCCAGGGCAACTGTTTCCTGGTGTGTCTTTGGATGCTCTTTCTGTTTACAGCTAAGGCTACTTCCCAGGTCAGGCCTCCTCAAGAGAATCCCTGGATATCTTTTCAGGATGGGGCTGGTTGCATTCGCCTGGGTAGCTGTTTCCTGGGGAGTTAGTGAATCCTCTGTAGTGTTGTGGCTGATGCTATCTTTCAGTCCAACCACCTTCCTGGGAATCCCTGGATATGACTTCTGCGTGCAGCTGGTCTTGTTCCCCTGGGAATCCTTCCCCTGGGGCATTGCTGATTTTTCCTTTATGTTGTGGTTACTGTTAACCTCCGGTGCAGCTGTTACCTGGTCCTTCGTTGGAGTTTTCTTCTCAGTGGCAGGCATCACCTGGGTTACGACTTGGCTTTCCTTGTGGTTGTTGTCCCTGTGGACAGGTATTCCACAGGGTTTCTCTGAACCTTGTTCGCTATGGCTTACATTGTCTCCCAGGAGACTTATATCTCGGTGGATGTCAGAGAATTCATTTGGCCTGTGGAAGACTTGGCCCCAGGCAGAAGTCACTGCGTCCTGGGACCCCGATGAAATCCACATGCCAGGTGGGTAGACTGCTGAAGGAGCCATCTGAGGTACAACTGCAGCCATGGCTGCTGCTGCTGCTCCTGAATCCACCACTACAGAACATGGTACAGGTGTGGAATATGGAAATCCCAAGGGAAATTGAGCATTAAGTGGGACTGGATTTGGCACAGGCACTCGAAGAATGGGATGCACTGTTTGTACCCAGGAACCTGGGAGTCCTGGCAGATAAGACAAGACTGGTGAGATTGGCATCTGCTCCTCCACATTCGGCATGTTCTGGGGCTGTCTGCATGGCAATTCTTCCTGCTCCTCATCCTCAAGGGACCAATTTGCTGTCCTAAGCCGTCCCACCCTAGGTTCAGGCATATCAGGCAATGCAGACCTCTCTGCTTGGAGCAGCCTCCCACGAAGTACTTCACGCTCATCCATTGCCTCTTGTAGCGCATTCTGTGTAGAAACAAGTTGAGCTGCAGCCTGGTCCCTCTCCTCTCGCAACCTCTGTAGTTCTGAGGCCAGAGTCCAAGATGCGATCTCCCGCTCTCCCACCTGGTCCTGTAGCCTCCCTCTCCTTGCCTTTTGTTCCCTCTGTCTGGCAGCCACTCTGACACTCAAAGCCAAAGCGCTCCAGGTGCAAGCCCTCTTGAGGGAGCGTGGTACTTTGGGGTCAACAAGGACGGAATGAAGCTGATCTTCTATGTCATTCCAAGATCTAGAGCGAAAGGTCATGTAGAATTCTGGACCCCCACCGTTCATAAGGACTTCGTTGTTAATGAATCTGATAACTTCAGTATGGCGGAAGCCGCTAGTATGGTCCCCAAATTCAACTGCCATGGCTGTTGCAGGTTAGTCAAAGGATACTCTCATGGATCTCTAGTACGGTCACTGACACAGCTACCACCCATGTGGCCAAACTGTTCCCCTCTACTTACTTCAGTGTTTGTTGAACCCTTGTTTTCTCCTCTACCTCCTTCCTCTTCTACTTCCTTCCCCAAACAAAAGACTAGCTGATCCTCTCACCAAGCTCTCTGTACTCTACAGCACTCTACTGTGACTTCCGGGTATTTAAGGAACATTCCACAAGAAACGTCACAAAGGGGACAAACGCTGTGTCATGCTACAAGGCATTCTGGGAATAACCGTATTTACCCTTAAACTACTTAAAAGAAGTGTGTGCTGTGTAGATAGTGTGGTAGTACAGGGGACATTAAAAAGGATATGTGAAAGCAGTTCTTTTTGGAGACCATAAGCTAGTGGATAAAATGAGGTCTTCAACAATATAGGTGGGCAGGGTAATGGGTAACAGAGGAGGGAAGAGCAAAAGAAACTGTACTACATGGACAGTTCAGTTTAGTTCGTGGAGATGAAAAGGATTCAATATGGCTTTTTCCTCTTCTTTTATTCTTTCTTCTTTTAATTGTTTGTTTGTGAAATCAAGATTGGCCAAGGAAATTAGGTGCAGGGATGCATTTTCCCAGATATGAAGCAAAATGCTGAGATTGCAAAGCTGGCATCAAGAAGAGTAGAAGAATGGGTAGTAGTGGGAAACAGACTGTTATGTAACTGTGTACATAAGTAGAATGAAAAACTAGCCGTTTGGGGACATTACAAATCCCAAATATGAGTTAAAGGGAATGATGATGAATAGTATTTCATTGCCTGAGAAGGTGAGGAAGAGAAAGACAGGAAGAGGTCATCTAGGAAGACTAAAGTCAGGAGGGCATACAAAGGTTCATGCCATCTTTCACTGAAAAAGAACAGGGCATTTCTGAACTCGACCCTACAAATTAGAATTCTCTGATGCAACATTTGCAGCTAAAGTGAACAACATTGGAAGTCAGAAGTATTTGGGACCTTCTGTGGGCTTCTATAAACCGCAGGCAAGAGCTTTTCCATTTTTGAGTGGAAGGATGGAGTCACTATTCAGTCAACTCTTATATAGTTCAGTCTCAGTCCCTTTCACAAAAAACTGCTATTTTCCAATTGAATACTAACTTCTTCTGTTATTTTAATACCAGGCTTTTCCATTTCTTGAGCTCAAATCATATATCTCTACTGACATAACTTTTTTAGTCTCTTTCCTTCCATTAGCTTCTTCATATTTAAGTTTCTCCCATACTTCATAATATTCTAGGGTTCAATTTCTGTACCTTAATTTCCACCTATATAACTACAGAAAATATCAAAAAGACTATATTGGTGTCTCTCCCTGCACAATATATCCAAATATCCAAATCTTCCAATGTGACCTTTCTGTAGAATTGATAAAGAGAAAGATCAAAAGACTAAAAATGAGCTACCAGAAAGAATTAAAATCAAGAGTCTACCACTCCCTTATTAAAATCACCATTTCCCAATATTTTCTAAACCGCAGATTCTATTAATGAAAATAAGTGTTAATTGAGCCAATGATCTGATAACTGGACAACTACTAATTATTAGTAAGGTAAGATACATTTTGTGCATACTTTAGACAAAGAGATGATTCATGTCCCCAAAAGAATGAAGAAGAATGGTGTGTGATTTCAGCGCATTTTCAGAATAAACTTAAGTTTTAATCTTACACTTACAAACTTTCACTTAATATTTTCAGACACAAGAAACTGAAGAAATGAGGGAGCAGAAAGGTTGAGTCTGTGGAAGAATAGAAGAAAACAAGAAAGGAGATACCATAATAGAGGGAGAAATTCTAGGTTTAAAGAGAAATCAGGCACTAGGGAAATGTCTGGAGATCTACAAAGATGACAACTAACAGTCTAAGCAACAGAGAGGCTACCTTAAATGCCCTCCCCTGATAATGAGATTGATGACTGCCTTATATGCCATCCTATAGCCTTCATCCAGCACTTGGTAGAAATAGAAGCAGACACCCACAACTAATCACTGAACTGAACTGGAATCCAGTTGCAGAGAAGGAGGAATGATGATCAAAGGGGTCCAGACCATGCTGGTGAAACCCACAGAAAAAGCTGACCTGAACAATGGGGAGCTCTTGGTCCCCAAACTGATAGCTGGAATACCAGCATGGGACTGATCAAGACCCCAGGAATGTGGTTGTCCATGAGGAGACCTCAGAAAACTATGGGGCATCCTGTAGTAGATCAGTACTTATCCCTAGCATTAGAATGGATTTGGGAACCCATTTCACATAGAGGGATACTCCCTGAGCCAAGACACATGGGCGTGGGCCTAGGCCCTATCGCAAAGCATATGACAGACTCTGAAGACCCCCTATGAAAGGCCTCACCCTCTCTTGGGAGCAGAAAGGGTATGTGATAGGTAGGGTTTTAGTTGGGGGGGTTGGTAGGGAAGGTGGGGATGGAGAGGGAACTGGAATTGACAAGTAAAACAATCTTGCTTCTAATTTAAATAAAAAATGGGAAAAATAAGTTATATACTTTGGTTCAAAAAGAGAGAAACTGAAGAAAATCAAACTACAAACAATAAAAGACAGTGAAAAATTATCATTTTATATCATCTCCTTTGTAACTACCAAGGAAGCCTCTTTTGGGAAACTGGGACTTAAAGTCAGATCTAAACAATATGTAACATTTACATAAAGATATTGAGGAAGAAAAGAAACCTAAAGTTGGCAAATTGGTGTTTCCATGTTATTTACCAGTTTCCTATTTGGTTGGCAAGATCTGCAATTGGTACTACTGTTCTGCCTTATCCAGTTAAATCATATTACTCCATTTGTAGGACAAATGTTTCTTGTGTTTTCATAACACTATGTTTTTAGAAGCTTTCATCTGGTCTCCCACCTCCTGGTATGTATATTTCATCTCTTTCCATGGATGCTCTTTCCTAAAGATACACATCTGATACCACCAGTAAGGCACCATGTGTGTACTGGTGTTTGTGATATTTCCAGGATCTAGATGCCTTCTGGGTGCTGAAGGCATCATCTGTTTCTGTTCAGAAACAAAACATTCTATATATGAAAGCAGAAACAAAAGTATGTTTTATAAGTAGAATTACTCTGAAGCATGGAATATTAAAAATCTGAAGACCAGGGCTGGAGAAATAGCTCAGAAGATAAGAGCAATGACTGCTCTTCCAGAGGACCTGAGTTCAATGCCCAGCAACCACATGGTGTCTCACAACCATCTGTAATGAGATCTGGTGCCCTCTCTGGCCTGCAGGCATGCATGCAGACAGAACATTGTACACATAATAAATAAATAAATCTTTAAAAAGTATATAAAATATAAAAATAGGAAGACCAATAATAAAGGAACTATAAATGAATATTAACATCAAATAATTTTTGTACAATTGACATGGAAATATCTACCATGATCTTCAAATTTTACTACCATGTCTATCTGTGAAAATAAACATATATAAGTCTTACCAAAGTAAAGACATTTTACTGCTTCTATAAGTTTTGAATAACTATTGTGAGAACCATCCATGTGTTGCTAGACATATTAAAAGGCAAGTGTAACAGGATGGGAAGGGGCAGGATCTCCTGTGCTAATTGGGAGCATGAAGGTAGGGGAGTGGGAGCTGCAAGAAAGAGAGCAGGAGAAGAGGAGGGGAGAGGAGGAAATGGAGGGGCAGAAATATTGAGTTGGGGGAATAATAGAGGAGAGAGAGCAGGATGAGAGATACCATATTAGAGGGAGCCATTATAGGTCTGAGGAGAGATCTGGCACTAGGGAGATTTCCAGAGACCTACAAGGATGACACAAACTGACAATCTAGGCAATGGTGAAGAGGTTACCCTAAATATCCTTCCCCTATGTTGAGACTGATGACTACTTTTTATGCCATCCTAGAGCCCTCATCCAGTGGCTGATGGAAGCAGAGGCAGACACCCACAGCTATACACTGAGCTGAAATCTGGAACTTAGTTGCAGAGAGGGAGGAATGAAGATTAAAGGGGTCGGTATCAGGATGGTGAAACCCACAGAAACCGCTGGCCTGTACATGATCCAGACCCCTGAACATGGATGTCAATTAGGAGGCCTCTGCACTCCAGGGGGCCCCTGGTAGTGGATTAGTATTTTTCCCTGGT